CACACACACACACACACACACACACACTAACATACACACACACACACACACACACTTGCACTCACCCTGATCCATGGTTTAAGTAAGTAAGTTTATTCAGTATTTAAGGCCAATGGCCCACATCACATCATATAAAATACTCATTTGTTACATACAGTTTCCATAATGAAAAAGTACACGTTGTGCATATATCTCTTATCATTGGTCAAACATTGCACATTTCTATCAATGAGCATATAGTTAAGTATTGTTTAAGAAATATAGATGAAATTAAACTGACCCTGTCCGTGCATATTTTTCTCAGGCTTTGCTCTTGGATGGTGAGGACATCACTATGATCCAAGTGAAGGAAAACTCTCAGGATGAGACAGTCGCCACTCTAGGTGTGGAGGATGTGGATGAGGGCCAGACGTTCACGTATACAATTTCTGGCAGCACGCAGTTCTACACTGCTGGCAATTTGCTGAAGGTTGGGATGACATAGGATTAGATCAAGTTACTAAGCTTTTAAATGAGTATATGTATGTGTGTGTGTGTGTTTGTGAATGTATATAATATATTTGTGAGTATGTATGTGTGTTTATGATTGAGAGAGAGAGAGAGAGAGAGAGAGAGAGAGAGAGAGAGAGAGAGAGAGAGAGAGAGAGAGAGAGAGAGAGAGAGAGAGAGAGAGAGAGAGAGAGAAGAAAGAAAGAGATATGGAAAGCAAATGTTTGCTTCAGTGCATATTTGTGTACATACGTGTGTTTTGTATGTAAGCATATGATTTTGGGTGACTGTAAGTGTGTGTGAAATTAAAAATTTAAATTGTAGTACATTTTGTGATGAGAAATTTCTATTTCATAAAAAAAATTTTTGCCCAATATTCTCCACAAAAATTTAATGATTTTATAGGTAACAAATTAAAATTTTTTTTTTTTCAATTCTTCCTTCATGACGAAACAGTTGGTTCCTTGTGAGTTTGACTTATGACTGCTGCATAGAACAGTCAACAGCAGTTTTCATAGTTTGAAGAAAGTAGTATGAAGCTCTGTAGATTTCATATATCCCTTTCATATAAGATCACTGATACTTTACCTATTTCCTTAACCCTCGACTCTGGTTGAATATTTGCAGACGACATCAGCTGCCAGTCTGGATTATGAGAGGACACGAGAAATCAGCATCAGGTTGAAGGTCACAGACAGCGGGGAGCCTCCCATGTCCTTGGAGAAGGACATTATTGTGCAGGTCCTGGATGTCAACGAACAGCCAAATGCTCTCAGGTTGTCCAGGAACAAAGTAAGTTTAGGAGGGGTTTTTTTTTGGGGGGGGGGGGGGGGGGCTTTTTGTGCTTTGTTTTGCTTTTTTTTGGTCTGTTTTTGTTTGTTTGCTTTTGTTTTGTTTTGTTTCAATCTTTGTATAACATAGTTTCACAGATGCAGTACTTGTGGAAATTTGGTACTTTGCTGCACAATAGATAAAGGTTCTGCCAACAGAGTTTGTGTCATGTTTTAGCTCATAATGAAAATAATTGAAACCTAGGATTTATGCAAAAGATATACTTATACTGTCAGTTGGTGACAACTCATTATATTAGCTATAAACACAAACTTAAGTATACATGAATGCCCATGGGCATGAATGCTACATGTATTTTTATGCCTTTGTAATATGTTTGGTAAAGCACATTGAGCATTGTAAATGATGAAAATGTCTTCTTCTTCTTCTTCTTCTTCTTCTTCTTCTTCTTCTTCTTCTTCTTCTTCTTCTTCTTCTTCTTCTTCTTCTTTTTCTTCGTCTTCTCCTCCTCCTCCTCCTCCTCCTCCTCCTCCTCCTCCTCCTCCTCCTCCTTCTTCTTCTAACTACTACTACTACTACTACCATTATTACTACTGCTACTACTACTACTACTATTACTACTGCTACTGCTACTGCTACTACTACTACTACTACTACTACTACTACTACTACTACTACTACTACTACTGCTACTGCTACTGCTACTACTACCCCTACTACTACTACTTGTCTGTTCTTACCAGGTGAAAGAAGACAGTGAAGTTGGCAGAGAGATTGGCAGTTTCATGACCACAGACCCGGATAATGCTGGTGGTCTGAGTCAGACCTTCACCTATGAACTCATTGAGGGAGGAGATGACCTCTTTTCTATCGATGATGATACGCTTATTGTAAGTTTTCTTAAAAGTTTGTTTGGAAATGCTGTTGTGGTTACTGTTGAAATGATTTGTTAGTGCCAAAACCACTTTTTGAGATCATTGAATTCTTGTGGCTCCTTCATGGTCTTTTAGGGGCATTCTTTAAGATAATCTGACTCTCCTTCTCCTTAACATTTACATTTTTCCAACGCTTACAAGTTTTCCTAAAGGAAATACTTGCACCGATGAGTCAGATCAATTTCATAGTAAGTTATGTGGCGTCGGTGGCCTAGTGGTTAGGCTACCGGACTCATAATCGTGAGGTTGCGGGCTCGGGGGTTCGAGACCCAGGCCCGACGTTGTGTTCTTGGGAAAGGCACTTTATTCGAGTTTTCCTCACTTCACCAAGGTATGAATGGGTACCTGGCCATAGACAGTGAAAGATCTTGTCAGTATGTTAGTGTTTTACCGCCTATAAATGGCTGCTTGCATTGTATGCTTCCCAGGAAGTTGAGGTTGTTTCAGAATGCTCTCAGGTCTGCTGGGGTAATAGTATAGATTGTGAAGCACATAGAGCTTGCTGTTGAGCAGGGATTTGCGCAATACAAATGCTATTAATTATTATTATTATTATTCATTAAGTTTTCTATAAAATGCTTACGGTCAATTGTAATAGTAATAGCTTTTTGTGGGATGTTACTACTGCAGTTAATGCTTGTTCTAGTTAGGAACAAATAACCATTTTGGGTTGTTAAACACTCGCAAATATTTATTGAATATTGTTATCCTTTGAAATCACTTACATCTAAAGTATGTTTTTGAATGTATGAAATAATAATGTTCTTTATTTTCAGGTAGCAAAATCGGAGTTGGATTATGAACAGAAGCCATCCTTCATCTTAAAGGTCAAGGTCACAGACACAGGAGATCCTCCATTGTCCTCTGAATTTGACATTCAGCTCATTGTTCAAAATGTGAATGACCCACCTTTTAACTTGGAGTTATCAGGTGAGCTGCATGATTTTATGACGATGAATCACAGCAAATCCATGTCATAGGTTTCTCTTGTTCGTACATCGTCAAGAGTGAGTTGATCAAAGGACAGGCAATTATTGCAATGAAAGTCTCTCAAGGAATTGTAAATGGCCTTGTGTGCTTCATCATTTCAGTGCTATATTTTATTGATAAAATCGTAACATTTTTTTTTAAATGGAGTAAAGAGCATTATAAAAATATAAATAGTTTTTTAATGTTGTTAGATGCATCTCGTTAAAAGCATTTGAATATTTTATGAAGTGGAAGCACTGTCTTGCTTTTTCAGTGAACATTTTGATGTTTCAGCTTTTTATATCATGTTGTGGCTTGTATTCATATGTAATAGGCAGAGTGTAAAATATATGAAAACCACTATTTTATGAATAATGTCACTATCCAAAAAGAGCATTTTTGTTTACTTTTGAAACTAAAACTGCAAGCTAACTCAGTATAATTTCAGAGAATTGTCATTTAGAAGTATAATGAAATTTGGCAATCATATTGCAGTTTAGGTTTCTTTCAAAAACTGTAATAACTTTGAGAAGGTAGTAAAGCAAGGTGTCTCTGAACACTTATTTGACCTTATTGTGTTGCAAGAGCCGTAAAACTCTTACCAAGGTGTCTCTGATAGGATTTTATTTCTTTCCAGTCCATTCATTCACTCTGTTTGTGTTTTGTAAGATTTTGAGCCGTAACTCCATCATGAACAAGAACAGACAGTACTGTACACTTATCTTACTCATTCAACTTGGATTTCCCAGCATTCACAATCGGAGAAGCTGCCCCAATAGACAGCGTGGTTGGGCAGCTGACTGTGGAAGATCCAGATGATGGGCAAACTGTCAGCTTTACTGTTGTGGATTCCACCGTGTTTTCAATCCAAGACAACAAGCTGGTTGTCACTGGTAATCTGGATTTTGAGTCAGCACCTACGGTCGGTGTCGAGGTCACTGCAAGTGACAACGGATTGCCACTCAAATCTGTAAGTTTTAATTTTGTCTGATCAGTCTTGTTGAAAGGTGTTTGCTATGATGATGAGAGAGGCGATGATGGATTGTGATTGGAAATAGTTTTCCATAACATTTTCATCCGCAGTTGTTGAATGTTAAGTCAGCTCATTTACATATTTATCAGGGAAAAAAGCAGGAACCAGCAAAATCAGTGGGACATGTCCTAAAACAACAACCCTACCCCCCCCACCCCCCAAGGCAGTGCTACTGACTGAAGTGTCTTTAGGCTATTCCCAAACAGGGGATATTAACATGATCTTATACACTGTAGAATTGTAAATGGGCTGATTTATCAATGTCATACCGTGCCGGAACAACATTAGGGGAACTGCTGCTTTTTCTTTCCTCATCCTTACTATCATCATTTTTCCTCTACTTCTTTTGTATGTTTGTCACTCTCTTGTGAACTGCTATTTCCGGGGTACCTTGATAGTCGAAGCAGACTTTGTGCTGTTGAGGCTAGAGAGGTGAACAGAGTAAGCGTGATTCCCCGTTTGGACTACTCTGTTGATATCCACTCCTTGGCACTCATATGACCTTAAGCAGTTGCGAGTGCTGTAAAACCTTACTAAAACTAAACTAAACACAACTCTTGCTCAGAAACAAGATTCTGCATAGTGGTCACCCAGAATCGATGTGATTGTAAGAATATTTGTATCGATGTGATATCATTCACAATGAAAAGTTGATTAATATATTTTTCCTTTCAGTTGGGAAGTCAAACACACACCTTTTTCCCATTTAAATCCACTACTTACTTTCCCGCTAGCTTGTCTGTTTCTTTTCTTTTTTGTTTTGTTTCTTTTGTTTTGTTTTTGTTTTTTTGTTTCTTTTTAAACCATTTTCTAGATGTGCACCAAACAAATTAAAAATTTTAAATACCAAAGGACAAAAAAAGCAAGACAGCTGGATGCATACAGCTCTTAGATCATTTAATCATTATTAAAGATAGGATATTGGCAAAGAAAAGTGATGCAGGGTGGCAGTGTTCATAGAAGACTTGAATAATATGGATAATCTTTTATCCATTAAAGATATATTTCATGTATGATTTCTTGGTAAGTGCAAAGAAACACCATAAAACACATTTACAAGGACATCAATGGAACAAGTGGATGGTGTGTTTTTCTGGCCGGATAACACAAAAATGTTTTTTCTCGGAAACATGAATGTTGTCTTGACTTCCTCAGGTGTCAAAGACGTTCACTATATCTGTAGAAGATGAAAATGAAGCTCCAGTCAATATGGAAATCACCTTGATGGAGGATTTTGACAAGTTTACAATCGCAGAGAATACAGAAGTGGATACTGTTATTGCCTCCGTGAAGTCGTTTGATCCAGACGGAGTGGACCAAGCCAGTTTGAAAATGACTGCAAGGTCTTCAAAACATTTCAAGCTGAGCGAAGCGGGTGTGGAGTGCAAACTGGTAGATTGTTTTTCTCTAAATGCTACTTTTTTGACTGATGTCTTTTCTCTTTACTTAAAGTGCAACTTTTTAAAATTTCGCATCAGACTCCGTGCAATTTCTATACTTGTCTTGTCTAGGTTTCTTTTAAAGTTATATAGGATAATAATAGATAAATGAATAATAACAATAATAATATTAATAGATAGCATTAGTACTCGTATTGCGCAAATTTCCACTCAAGAGCAAGCTCTATGCATTTGACATTCTATATCATATTATGTCAGGTACAATATTTGAAATGTTTTACTTTCCAAATTTCTATGTTTTGTTTACTAAGTAAAAACATCGCTTGATTTGTGGATTAAACATTTTTTTTTCAGGAAAATGTTCCTGAACGTGATTCATCATTCACAGTGTGTACCCAAGATGTTCTCTTGTCTGAGCCAATTACTTACAAGGCCAGTGCAGAGCCTCTGACATTAGAGGTTGATGCCTCAGACAAAGGACAGCTTTCCATGAGAAACAAATGGGAGTTCACAGTCACTGACAGCAATGATGCACCAACAGTAAGTTCTGTAGGAGCTATGCAATGTTTTGAGCATGTTTTTATCAATATTATTGTGTGTCTGTTTTGCGGCTCATATTACCTGCAGAACCAGAAAGAGTGCTCTATTGAATCATCAGCAATGACATAAGTGCTATTTTATTTTGCTTGAAGTTGGTTGAAAGAAGAGAGAGAGAAAGAGAGAGAGAGAGACTGACTGACAGACAGACAGACAGACAGACAGACAGATAGACAGACAGACAGACAGACAGACAGACAGACAGACAGACAGACAGACAGACAGAGACAACAAGAAATAGAGGCAGACACAGGATGGAGGAGGAGAGATTTCATTTGTACAATACTTAGACTGATGTATGTGTTTACTTAAAGTGTTGTAAAGTAAAGTAATCATGATGTAAATTTATAAGTACCCAATTTCAGTGTTGCATAACGAGTACTGTAATCATTAGTACCAGTACCATAGAGAGCAAGAAAAAAGGAAAAAAGACACACAGAACAAAAAGATGTCAACGGCAACACAAGCCACAATCATGTAACGTTTTAAGTCTTATTAAACTCTTGAACACAACCTGAGAAGTAGCTTAATTTATTAATGTTTAATGTTGTTGGTGTTCTTGACTGTTCTCAAGTAGAATACACAACATAAAAAAGTCTATATTTTTATGCAAAGTTTTGAATGTATGTATATTTGTGTGATTCTGTTCATGGTTTTATCTTTGCATACATATACAACAAATGTTAACTATGTTTTTCTGTTGTCCCTCCCTAGGATATTTTACTTGAACCAGACACACTAGAAGTCCCAGAAAATGATCCAAACTACAAGATTGGAACTCTGAAGTGTGTGGACAGAGATACTAACCAGCACTATGTATATCAGGTGAATGATTCAAGGAAACTGATGATGTTACGTTTTTCTTGATTCGCTACTTAAATTTGTAAAGTGTAAATCCTAACTTGACTAATTATTGTCAGTTATTTAGAAAGTGTTAGATGATAAAAAGTTCATAATATTTTCTTTCCATCATTCTGGTATTCCTCCTTATTCTTCATTTTCAAATTTTTTCTTTTTTTTTTGGAGAAAGATTTCTGGTGATTTAAACCAATGAATGAATATTATAAACTCTTTGACAGGATAGGCTTTTGTATTTTGAGAAATATAATAATTTTTAACACGTGAGCCAGGCATGTGTGGAGTCTCTTTTATTGTAATCATAGAGTTTATGACATTCAATATTTCCACAGATTTTAAACAACTGGGAGATGTTTCATGTGGAGAAAGACTCTGTATTGGCCAATTACCAGCCCCTGGACGCGGAGACTCAGTCAGAGTACGAAGTCACCATCCGATGTGTAGACAGCGGAACCCCAGAGGGCAGCTTTGAGAAAACTTTCACCATCAAGGTCTTAGACATTAATGAGCCCCCATCAGACATCAAGTTGTCACACAGTGAGGTAAGCCAAACACATTTGGATGCAGCACAATGATAGTACATAACAAGATGGGCCACTTCTCTCTTTGAGCCAATTAAAAAAGTGTCCTCAAAATTTGGTGGCGCCCTCTTCACAAAAGCGCACTCTTTGCGAACAGAGTTACCCTACTTGAGTTTTTAAAAATCAAAGTGAAACTAGCAAGTTTTGGGATGAATTTCGGAAGAACGCTTTTTAAAAATGGTTACGCTGACAAAAAACCTCTTCCGGAGAAAAGGGTGATTGTTTTCTTCGTTTAATTTGACTTTAGAATGAAAGGCGAGAGGTCATTAAAGTATAAATAACCTAAAACTCTGCACTGAACGAACTCGAACTGCTGATGAACAGCAGTCGATCTGCGCACGCAAGGAAGAGAGCTTCAAAACAGACTGCAGCGCCATCTGAAGCAAAGAGCATACTTCCTGCGGACACTTTTTAGGCAAAGAGCATACTTCCTGCGGACACTTTTTAGGCTGAGTGACCCATCTTGTCTTGTACTATCTTTGGCTGAGTGACCCATCTTGTCTTGTACTATCTTTGTGCAGCACATGTGCTTCTGTGCTTTTGTCTTTCTGCACGCTAGTGTTTACAGATGACGCGTTATTGTGCAGAGGTTTAAAGGTACAACATTGGTGCACTAACACATGTTGATGTCGATAATTTGTAGATATCAATCCAGGAGTTTCAATGTTGAATCGATATGAGGGGAAGACTTTTTACTTTGACAAGGCATATCATGATCCGTTTTGCTTGGATTGAAGAAGACAAATTTACACTGATTTGATCATTATTAATGTTGAGCACAGTCAATTTTAAAACTGTTTATTGTCATGCTGAGGTTGTATTTTTGTTACTCCTCTTGCAAGATAATTACCGATTTAAAAAAATAATAATTGAAGATTATTCCTATTTATGTGTTGTCATTTTTTTGGTGCTTTATCTATTCTAATTTTTTCTAAACTAAAGGAAATATGTGCTGGTTATTATGAAACCCATAATAAATGTGATATGTGGTAATAACTGAATTTGTATTAGTGTCAAAGTATTCAGAATTATTTGTAAAATAATTATATGTCATAGTGTACATACAGAAAAAACTTAACAATATAATGTCTTCCGTGAAAAGAAAAGCTAGTTTTCAGAAAACCGTTCATTAGTTGTTCACATTCATGTATCTTCACCCGAGTACAACAACCCTGTATCCCACAAAAACAAAACTTTACAGGAGAAGGAAAAAAACTTTGTCAATTCATCTAACAGTGTTTACTAAAAATGAAAGTCGGAATGTTGCTCTTGCGATGTTTATTGAGCTACATGTCTAAAAATTTGACACAAAAACCGCAACGTTACATTTAGTAGAAACCCCCCCCCCCCCCAACAACAAAAGTGTTTTGTGACATTGTGTGGGTTACAGGCTTGTTGTACTCTGGCGACGGTATGTCCTTGAGAAAATTTAATGCTATGATCAGATTATTCACTTTATCTTTGCTTTCACAGGTTCCGATGACAGCACAAGATGGAGACACTGTCGGCTTTGTCTTAGTCTCAGACCCTGACAACTCTGGTGCTGACAGCAAGAAACAAACACACTCATGTGTCGTCATGAATGAAAAGGAAAAATACTTTAGAATCAATCCAGATGACAATGCTCTGCAGGTTTGTATTAAACTTTCCTCCATCTTTCTAAGCAAAAGAGTGATTGAAGAGAAAGAGCAGTGTTTCATGGAAATGATTTTTTAAATTTATTGAAATCTACACTTTAGCAGTCAAACATTCTTTCTTTATTATGCTCAAGGAAAAATGGAAAATGTCTTTTTGTGATAGAATAAAGGGCCCTCTTCAGATGGAAATAGTTAGAGGAGACAGTGAGTACTGGAGAACATTTAGCCATATGCTTCAGAATGTTCAGTGTACATCAAGGTATGATTGTAGTGATATATCTACTTTAAACGTAGTACTTTGTCTGTATTATAATTTTTTTAACATACACGAAAATAAACAGACAAAAAATACAACCAAACAAACAACAAAATCAACAATTTTGTTCGGGTAATTTTACAGTTACATCCCATGTTTGTTCTCATCAGGTGAACGGAGATGTTCCTGTGGAAAGAAAGTCTGTGTCCCTGACTACCAAATGTACAGACAGTGGCCCAGGGAACCTTCCCTTCACCAAGGACTTCACAGTGTTCATCATCGAGTCCGCGGATGTTCCCAAGGCCTTAGTTCTTCAGGGAGAGATGACAGTGCCAGAAAATGTGCAGGGTCAAGAAGTCGGAACTTTTGCTGTTATCAATGAACTGACGCAAACAGAGATTGAAGGGGTAAAGCATTGGCACTTTTGTTATTAATTGTGAACAGATACAAATTGAGATGGACAGGTTAAAAATAAACGTGTTAGTTTTATTATTAATAAACTTGTTTAAATTGAGATAGAAGGGGTTTATGAAGCTGTGGACATGAAAGAAGACAGGTAATTCAATACTTAAGCTCCTTTGTGACCTGAGCGACTGCGTATATATGTGAGACATGCTGACAAAGTGAGTTACTTCTTTCAGTCAGTGAATGCAGATATCGGTAAAAAATCGATACAGTGGTCAAATTTGTAGATTTTCAACTGATGCCGTTTTCTTCATGTTTAACATGTCTGTTATCATTTCATACTAATAAGTTGTTCAAACTCAACCTGTACATTTGATGATTTTCTGTCCATAGGGCTAAAATTATTGAAGTAATTTATTTTGTTTGCACATCTCACATATATACTGTTATTATGTTTCTGAACTATTACAGCAGATTTTGAACACATTTATTTTTTCAAACCTCAATTGTTGAGTCAAACAGTAGAGATGACACCAATCTTTCGATTAGAACAATAGTTCTTACAAATTGTAATAACAGAAACTTTCCATCTCAAATATGATATCTTTTTTATTTATCTTTGTGTGCAGGACTACAGTTATTTTGATCTGAAAACAGCGGAGACTGAAACAGAAGTTTTCCGAGTGGACGAAAATCGCTTGATCATGGAAACACCAGTAGATTTTGAAACAATTCCTGTCCTCACCGTCTCACTGTCTGCATCAGGCACGGACACAAAAGGAAACCAGGTTGACCTGACTGGGACTTTTAAGGTGAGCTCTAAGATGTAATGTGCATATAGTGTTTTACTGTATGAAAAATTGGTACCTTTAATTGATATATCAGATATTGCCTTATTTCTTTTGAAAAAAGTGAGTCTGTCTGTCTGTCTATCTGTTTATCTCTCTCATTTCTCTCTCTCTCTCTCTTCTCTCTCTCTCTCTCTCTCTCTCTCTCTCTCTCTCTCTCTCTCTCTCTCTCTCTCTCTCTCTCTGTTCCACTCACTCACAAACACAAATGCACCTCTCACAAACTCCCACACCCATTCACCTTCACACAAACTGTCAAACATGTTTACCCTTACACAAACTCTCACACACGTTCATTCTTGCATAAAACCTCCACCCACATTCTCCCTTACACAAGCCCCCACAAATGTTCACCTCACACAATATCATGTTTACCCTCACAAATCTGTCCACACTGACACTCAGATCAAAGTGGAAGATGTCAACGAGCCCCCAGAACGAATCAATATCTATGGCGGGGGTACTGTCAACGAGAACTCTCCAGAAAACAGGGTGATTGGTGACCTGAACACACTGGACCCTGAGCCGTACCAGATATACAAGTATTCACTCATCTCCGTGGCTCCTGGGTAAGTCAAGGACAGACAGTCTAGTGTACTTTTTAGTCTTTTCTCTGAAACCATACAAGTAAACTTGAGGAAAATCCACTCACTTTTGTCATATAATATATCTCCGCCCTATTATATTCATACTTTTATTTTGACCCATTATTTCAGTCTCTTTTTTAAATATTGATACTCACAATCTTTAACTCTGTATAACCCTGAGTGGATGATTGGAGTGTCCAGTGAAACTCGCCCGGTCCCCGAGTAGACAGTTCCAGCGTCTGATTGGATTGTAGGGTGCATGAAGTATAACTGCTAATACAATCTCTTATGAATCCAAATAGATTTATTGTGACTCGGAAGAATTAAATAAATGTATAAACTACTTGCTCTTTCTCTTTGACACAGTGTTAAATTTGCGTGTATCCCCCGTTACATGTTTCTCAAGATCTGGAAAAAATTCCTTCAAAACGGGGAAAATAATTCCTGGATTAAAGAGTTAAGTAACCAGCAAACAGTAAGAGTAATAATCAGAAGTCTCCATTCTAGCTGACTACTCTGGCAAGGGAGGGTAGAGTCAGCTTAGAGTATCAAAGAGAATATTTTAGAGATGGGAGGGAGTGGGGGGGCATTAAAGTGAGGTAGGCTGCCATATCTGCAAGCATATGAATGATATTTCAGTCTGTCATGCGTCTGTTTGGGGGGGGGGGGGGGGTTCACATGTGTGAGTGCCATCTGGCCGACCTGCTAGACTTTTGGAGACATAGACAATTGTACTGCTTTTACAGATATGACTCACATATTTGAGATTGTTAATACACTACAGAGACATAAGTTGTTTTGAGTCTCAAACTGTTCTATGATTCTCAATGTAAATTTTAGTAATGCCTTTTGTTGTTCAAATTGCAATATCAATAAAAAATGTATTACTTTTTACATGCTTTGAGAAAATAATATATATAATACTTTCAGGGTAAATGGAGGGGAGGCCAACCCAGAATTGCTGGATGCCTTTAAAATTGAAGGGCGCACTTTGTTGGTGGGACCCTTGACTGAAGCCTTGGATTTTGAGGTGAATCCGTTCTTCAGTTTGCTGATCCAGACGACGGATTCAGGCACTCCTCCGTTGAGCCTCGAATACACGTTGAGGATTGTTGTGAATGATGTCAATGACGCTCCTACTGATATCACGCTGGACAATGATAAGGTAGATACTTTCTGGCACACTTGTGTTCGGGTATTTCATATTTTATTATTTTGATGACTCAAGCTCAGTTGAGATCGTCCAAGACAGCCTTTCTTTGTTGAGGAGAAAAATGGTTGTCTTGGACAGTGTCATTATAAGTTTTTAAAAATGCAATGGAGCTAGGGATTTGCAAGCATTCTTTTGTGTAGGTGGTTGTCTTAGGTGATCGTTAAAGCAGGTTGGACTGTACCTTTCTATGAAGAGACATCCCTTTAAAAGATATAATCAGTTTTAACATTTTAGTCTTTTATTTGTTCTGAACTACTCTTTTACATCCTCTGATCATCTTTCTTTCCTAATCTAGGTGATTCATTCATAGATGTTTGAGTTCTGCAAGAATCAATGCTTTGCCTCCTATCCGTAACTCACATCTTCCATGGGTATATTACTTGGAATACAAAACAGGAAGCAAAGCGTTAAGATTAACTGTGTAAAAATTGTAAGAGGAAAGATGTCTGCATTCACCATTGGTTCAACTTGTAAGGCATGCGAGCACACACACACGTACACACACACAGACACACACCACACACGTGCACACACACACACACACACACACACACACACACACACACACACTCAAAAGTACACATACATAATTATGCCTCTTTATTCTTCCCTCAGATATCAGAATCAGCTGTAGTGGATGATGTTGTGGGCTCTCTGAGTGTGGTGGACGAGGACACTGATCAGCAGCACCGCTGTATTGTACAGAACCTGCAAGATGTGCCCTTTACAGTATGTAATGATAATAGTTTGTCCATCAACAGAAGTCAAATTGTCCATTTTTATGCAGAATTAGCTTAGTTTTAGGTCCAACTTTGATGTCAAGACTGGATTATTTTACTGAGCCAGTTTCATTTATCAGACAGGAAGTAGCAAAGAAGAGACGCTATATGTGTCATGACGCCGTGGAGTCAGGAGCTCATCAATTTTTGGGCATGTGGAGCTATTAGTATTAACTGAAAGCTGATTCATTTTCCTTGATTCCAAAGAAATAAATATTCATTTATCTTGAATAGACCTCAAGATATTAGCGCTTGAAGTAAGTGAGGTCATTTGCTTTCAGTGGTGAAATTAGCAAGGAAATGGCCACCAAAGTTTGGTAACTCCAATAGCTAAAGAATCTTTGAAAATGACATATTTTGTGCTTTTAATAAGTAAAATTCACCTTGAAATGTGTTTTTACATGGGCATAACAGAGGTTAAGCTTCAAACTGGTGGAAAAATGCCAGTTTCTCAAATTTCGTCATTTTGATGAGCGCCTGATTTCACCACGCTGCCTCACATATTTTCTCTATTTTTCCTGTTATGAGTGTGTTTATACGGCCTGTTTTTGTTTTCTTCTTTCTGCAGATTAAAAATGATGTCCAAGTGGTAGTCAGTACATCTGATCTTGATTATGAAGCTCAGAAAACTTTTGTTTTGGAGGTGAGTTGAAATGTTGAAAATTTGAACCGTGGCAGCTTGTCATCTAGAAATCCTCACTTATACTTTGGAAGATAAATAGGGTCCCTCATCATCCCCTAGACATAAGGTTTTGAGCTGTGCTCCCCTGAGCCTACAGTGCTTGTGTTACTGAAGTCCCTTTGGTTAACTGCTTGACTTATCGCAACCTTAGAATTACAAAGTTCTATCTGACTTATTTAAAAATAATAATAATAATTGCATTTATATAGCGCATATCCATGCTCAAGAGCTTGCTCTATGCGCTTTACAACTATTATTACCCCAGCAGACCCTCTGAGAACACTCAGAAACATTCTCAGCTTCCGCAGAAGCATACAGTGCAAGCTGCGGATTTCACGCGCTCAAACACTATCAAACTGACAAGATCTTTCACTGTTTATAGCTGGGTACCCATTTCCACCTGGGTGAAATGAGGAAAATTTGTGCAAAGTGCCTTTCCCAAGGACACAACGTCGGGCCCCTGATGGGATTCGAACCCACGTCCGTACGGTTGCGAGTCCGAGAGCCTAATCACTAGGCCACCGACGCCACAGTTACTAAGACCATGAGGTCACATACTGAATGTTCAATCTGCTCAATCAAAATCATAAGATTATTTGGAGTCATTATCAAGATATTCAAAGAATTGCATTATGAAAAAAGCTTTACATATTCATCATCATCCGGTGCCTTGCCGACGTCAAGATATTCAAAGAATTGCATTATAAAAAAAGCTTTACAAATTCATCATCATCCGCTGCCTTGCCGACTGGCGTGGGCGATCATGGACCTCCACTTCACTCTGTCTTGTGTTGCAGCAATGGTGTCTGTTGTTCTTGCTGCTCCTAGCCATGTTTTCATCTTGTCCAGTATCTTTTCCCTCTGTCTGCCTCTGCCTCCCTTTCCATCAAACTTGCCTGTTGTTACAATATTCTCCAATGCTTCTTTCCACATTATGTGTCCGAAGAAATTTACCTGTCGCTTTCTTATATTCGTCACAAGCTGTCTTCTACAATTTGCTTCAACCAATATTTCTTCATTTGTTTTTCTAGCTGTCCATGGGATACGTAGCATGCGTCTTATGAACCACAACTCTGTCGCCACAATTGTTCTTTCCATCTGCTAATTGATTTCCATGCTTTGCACCCGTATATATATTTACATATTGTGAAACTCAAAATTGTTAACATCAAATTTCTCAAAACTAGGTACTGAGCTGATAGAACTTTGTAATTCTAGGATAGCATTTTTCCACCGCACACTGAGGCTGAGTATTATATAAGCATGTTTCATTATTGTTATTTATTCTTTGTTACCAGTCAGATGGTGTGGGTGGTCCGTTAGCTCAGTTGGAATCATAATAAAATGTGGAGCAGATAGCTGTGGTTCAAATCCCAGACTGGGTTTTCTCGGACTCGAGTTGTTTTATAGAGTTTTCAAGGCTCTCAACCCATTTTGAGTTCTATTGGAGATGGTTGTTGAATTCAGAGGTCCTGCCTCTTAAACAACATACATGTAACAGTGTTGATAGGGGCGTTAAATCCATAAACTTACCATGCTCTCAGATGGTGCTCAAAGTACAAAATTTGCACACTCATGTGACCTTATACAGTTGCAAGAACCGTAAAACACTTAACAAACAAACAAAAAGTTGCTAATGATAAATTGTTTTAAAAAAAATTCTTCAGGTGATGTGCCAGGATGAGGGAAGTGACGGAATTTATCTCAAAGTGACAAAGCACCTGACAGTGGAAGTAACTGATGAGAACGAAGCTCCGTACAACATCAGCCTGTCCAGTCTCAGCATTGACGAGGGGAACATTGTTGGACAGCTGGTGGGGGAAATTTCTGCCACCGACCCGGACAGTAAGCAGGTATGGGAAACTTGAGTAGGATAATATGTTGAAATTTTGTAAATCATAGCATTGGAACACCAGCAAAATTGCCCTACAGCCCAACATGATTTTTAAAGTTGCATTCAGGAATTCAGGACCGGTGGGGAGTTGGGGGGGGAGGGGGGGGAGGGGGGAGGGGAGCATCCCCCAACGTTAAGTGGAAGTTTTATTGTCCATACAATTTTTTTCCTTCTACTCACAGTGAAAAATGAAAGAGGAGTACCCTTAGACAAAAAAATGTGTACTTATATGTATGTCATGTGCCATTTGCACAAACTCCTGATCTCAGACTTTCCCTCTTATATGATCCCATAAGTATGAGAATCCCCCTCCACCCCCAGACTCTCCCCCCGTTTTACCTTCTTCCCTCAAAATCCTGACCCCCTTCTCACGCTCGTACACATAACACACACAGGCTTACACACACACTATCTTTGTCTCTCTCTCTCACACACACACACACACACACACACACACACACACACACACACACGCGCATGCACACACATACACACACACACACACACACAAGATTGATCACATTTTTATGACAACCTTTTCTTGTTCCTTCTGTATTTGTGACAGATGTTCTTTGAACTTGAGGGTGACACATCGGTCTTTGAGATCCAAGGCGACGGCTCTCTCACTGCAAAGCAAATATTGGACTTTGAAGACAAAAACAGTTACTCTGTGACAATCAAAGTGTTGGATGAAGGAGGGCTCTCCTCAAGTGAAACTTTCACTATCAAGGTACAGTTGTCTTTTTTGAGATGATCAAATTGACATTGCAACTAATGTTTTTGATATTGTCATCGAATTGCTGGTACTGTTAAACAATATTTGTGCAACTCTTTACATAAGTAGAATTTTCATTGGCAGCTTGGTTGGCTCAGTTGATATCATACAAGACTAGACTGTTATATGAGAGTATATGATTTGATTTTGAAATGAGCTATTCTTTAGCTTGGCATGTTTTGGCAGATTTTGTAGCTCAGCCGGTTTGACTTGATTTTAATAGAGAGTCACTTTACATTTGGTCTCATAGTCTCATTATTCAAATAACTTGACTATTTTGAAAGGGGTATTAAGGGATAGGTAGTTGATGCAGTAGGTAAATGTGTCACGACATGATGGAACCAGGCGCTCGTCAATTTTTTGACTTATGGGGTTATTTGTATCATCTTAAAGTCTGTTCATTTGCTTTGCTTAGGGTGAAAAAAATCGATTTATGTTGAATAGAAGTCGAAATGTTTGCGACGGAAGGAGGTCATGATGCCTCTTTTCAGAGGTGAAGTTAGTGAGAAAATATCTGCCAGAATTTGGTAAGTTCCATAGCTTGAGAGTGCTTGAAAACTGAAAATTAAATTTTTTTGTATCTTTAAATGTTTTTCAGTAAAATCCACCTTGAAATTTATTTTTTAATGGAATAAAAAGTGATGATCCGAAAAAAAGCATTGTTGTGAACATCATAATATCTGGATTAGTTCCTATAGTTCTTATTTTAATTTTCAGAAAGTAATACTGTCTTATGCAGGTAATTTTTCTCATCTAATCTTTATCTGTGTTACTTTTGCATATTATCTGTATAAATTTACTGACCCGACTTAAGTTGTATCAGATCCAGATTTGGTCTGCTCCTGTGTAGTCTCATAAGAATTTTTATTGTTTCCTTTCTGACAGGTTAAAGATGTGAATGAAAAGCCAACAGCCATCACTCTTAGCAACAACATTGTAGCTGAAAGTGCTGAGCGTGGCACATTGATAGGTCTGCTGAGGACAGAGGACCCAGACAGGGGGCAGGCATTTACGTACACACTGACAGAAACAGCTCCAGCTAATGGTGAGTGCGAGCATCGTATCAGTCACTTAAACTACTATTCTTTGTCTCTCTCTTTCTCTCTCTCTCTCTCTCTCTCTCTCTCTCT